CACACACACACACACACACACACATACACACACATATGAGCTTGCACGAACGCACACACGCCCACATTTACCACCACCAGGGAATAGAGCTGGGGCAGGTGCTTGCCATTTCTCAACACATTAATCATCCTCCTTTAAATAACCTGAGCGTAGTCTTTGACGGTTTGAGACTGCGAGCGCACCGCGGTGCTGTTGCCTGACGACGGCATGTGCATCTTTCTAATGTTATCTCTGAAACCCACGAGCCCCGAAGTGTCAGGAAATGGGCTCCACCGCCACCGCTGCCTCCTGAACCGACTGCAATGATTTGATGGCTTTGACCTCAGCACGGCTGAGTGTTGTGTTGGACCCAAGTCTAACCCCAATCTTGCCGACCTGGCTGAAGGCTCGCTCTCTAGTGTGGGGAGTCGGACGAAAGGGCGACTTGGAGGGGCGCTCCAGGGTACCGTGCTCGGACTCCTTTAGGCATCACTCGCATTAATGGGTTCAGGGTGCAGTTTTACTCTAAAAATAACATTTACTACAAATCCAAACCAGATAACATCAAAACAGAAAAGGCTCCAAGACGAGAATCCCTTGAAACACCATTTTTAAAAACTAACACCTCTGCTTTCTTAAGTTGAACACTTTTTCTTTCTTCTTTCCTAACTTTAAAACCATGTTTGCTCAAATGATCCCCCCACCACCACCTGTGTATTTTTAATAAAGTTTTAACTCAGCTTGACATTTACATTACCTACACTTCAAATGAGACTCAACTATATTCAGACTGATGAAACAAGAACAGACATTGTAATAATCCAAAAAAATATATATTAGAAAATCCAATGACCTGTTACATTTCCAGGATGGTGAAGATTAGCGCTATGGCTAAATGTTGCTAGTTAGAAAAACGGGGGGAAGTTATGTAACACCAAAAAGTAATAAAAAAATTCATTTTATTCAGATAATTAATAGATATTAAACATTTTCATGTTTCATGTTTTCATGTTTCATGAGTACCATTAGTTACTGCTTGTTAAAATTACCCAACTTTAGCTAAAGCTCTTTACTATTGTGACTAATGTTGGATAACCTTAACAAACCTTACCCAAAGTAATGAGTAAACAGCAAGAATTATTTTAAGTTTATGCCACCCTTAAGTTCATGATAGCTAAAGTTAGATAACATTAGCCACATTTGTGAGTAACTTTAGCATAAGTTTGTTAAAATTACCCAAAGTTAGACGACGTTACTTATTGATGTTGCTAATGTTGACTAACCTTAACAAAAATTAACTTATA